TCATACCCGTGCATTAGTCTGAAAGCCACCCTTGCCTTTTGGGCTCAGGGAGGTTCTTGTGCTTGTTGGCATTTACTTTTTATTAATTAAATTTGTTCTTTCCCTATCTTACACATGGATATAATGTATTGTGACTGCTCCCCCACCTTCCTCTGATCCTTGTTGTCCACCCCTCTTCTCTACAGATTTCTTTCCTGCTTTCATGTCTTTTCCTTTTGTTCTGTGACCTACCGAGTTTAATAGGGCTGTCTGTGTAATCACGGGTTTGGAACTATCCTTGGGAACTCAGTGGACTCACCATTGGATACACAAATGAAAGAGATTACGGTCCCTCACCAAAAGTCCACTGGTAGCCTGTAGTTCAGCAGGGAAGGTAGGGGCTTCTGAGCCTCTCCCTCATCTGTGACTGACTGTGGACAGTCCTGTTTTGTGTGTATCTTGTTACCAAGGGGTGTCATATTTTCAGCAGTAGGTAGATCCTTTTTATTTGGTTCTGGAGGGCACCCAAGAGGAATGACAGGAGCTCATATTGGCTCTGAAGCCAGTGGGACCTCTGTGACCAGCATCTCATACAGAAGTATCCCACAGCTGGCAGTGGGAGTTTTGTTTATTGACCCACTGATTCTAGGAACAGCACTGTCTACCCATATAAGCTGTTTCCCTTTTAACTTTTTAAAAGTTTTCTAGTTGACTTACAGGATGGTAGGTGTCTGCATACCTGCTTCATACGCTTTTCATTTTGGTTACTCCTCCTCCCTGCCCACTTCTCTCGCTCCCCTCTGCCTTTTGTGCTTCAGCCGTCCTTGTGTGTGCCCACCCTCTCCTGTTTCAGCGGTGTTTGACGATCTGCACTTCCGTAGGCGCCCCACCCATCTCCTATATTCCCTTGTAGTTTCCCAGCTTCCACACTGTAGAATCTGCAGGTACTCCAATTCAAACACACACAACTGAAGAGCTGGACTGAGAATCTACATGTGAGAATTGTAAACATTGTAGCATCCGTCTTTCTGGGCCTGAGTTACCTTACTCAGTATTATTTCCAGTTCTGTCCATTTACTTGCAAATTTTATAACGATTTTTCTTTACAGCTGAGTAGAATTCTGTTGAGTTTATGTACCACATTTTTATTATTCTTTCATCAGTTAGTTCATGGACATCTAGGCTAATTCCATTTCCTAGCTATTTTGACTAGAACAGCAATGAAGATAGTTGTCCAAATATCCTTGGGTATAAATATACCCAGTGGTATAGCTGGGTCATATGATAACTCTTATTTTTAGTTTTTTGAGAAACCTCCAGACTGATTTCTGAAGTTCACATTTCCACCAACACTGTATAAGGTTCTTCTTTCCCCATGCAGCTAATTGTTGAGACTTATAGCCTTGATGATGGCCATTTATGATACAATCTTAAAGTAGTTTTAATCCTTATTCTCTGGTGACTAAATGTTGCTGGAATTGCTAAATGGTCTTTTAATAAAAACAACAACAACAACAACAAAAACAAAACAAAACAAAACAAAACCCAGAGCCAGATATTGGGGTAAATGCTGAAAGAAAGATCAGAGAGACAAAGGAACAAGCCACTGCCACATCTCACCTCACCAGCTCTATGAGTCCTCTGACTTACAGGAATCCTCTGAATTAATGCCTCTGAGTCCTCAGCCAAAAGGCTTCCTTAGCTAAAAGGGGTCCAGCTGAAAAGGCTTTAGTTCCTGTCCCTTCACACCTTATATACGTTTCTCCACCCAGCCATATTATTTCCTTCCTAGTGCTGGGATTGAAGGCGTGTGATTCCCAAGTACTGGGATTAAAGGCCTGTGCCACCACTGCCTGGCTCTGTTTCTCCCCTAGACTGGATCAATATCATGTAGTCCAGGGTGGCTTTGAATTCACAGAGATCCAGACAGATCTCTGCCTCCTGAGTATTAGGATTAAAAGTGTCTGGCTTCTATGTTTAACCTAGTGGCTTGTTCTGTCCTCTGATCTTCAGGCAAATTTTACTAGAGTACAACAAAATATTACCACAACTAAAGATGTTGATCATTTTTAAAACTGTTTACGAGCTGTTCGTATTTCTTCTTTTGAGTACTCTTTATTTAGTTCCATAGGCTGTTTTTAAATTGTGGTATTTGTTCTCTTGATGGTTAGTTTTGTTTTGTTTTTTTTTGTTTTGTTTTTTTTTAATTCCCTGTGTTTTCTAGGTACCAATCCTTTGTCACATGTGTAGCTGGCAGAGATTTTATCCTATTCTTGGGCTGCCTCTTTCATTGATTGACAGTTTCCATTTCTGTACAGAAGCTTTTTAGTTTTATGAGATCCATTTATCAATTGCTGGTCTTGTTTCCTATGCTATTGGAGTCCTATCAGAAAAATCCTTACACTTCCATATTTATATGCCAAAGCTTACTTACTATTTTTTCCTCTAGCAGTTTCAGAATATCTGGTCTTCAGTTGAGTCCTTGATCCATACGGAGCTGAATTTTATTCAGGATGAGAGCCAAGAATCTAGTTTCTTTCTTTTACATGTTGATAACCATTTTGACCAACACCATTTGTTGAAGATGCCATTTTCCTCTCTAATGAGTATTTTTACATCATTGTTAAAAGTCATGTGGCTATAGTTGCAGTGACTTGACTCTGGTTCCCCTCTTCTATTCCCCTGGTTCATGTGCCTGTTTTTGTGCCAGTACTATACTGTTTTTATTCCTGTGGCTCTGTAGTACAACTTGAAATTATGTATAGTGGTAACTCCCAACATACTCTGTTATTTAGGGTTGCTTAGGCTACTCATGGTCTTTTCTGCTCTCATATGTATTTTAAGATTGTTTTTCTATCTTTAAAAGTCCCACAGTCTTAAAAGTCTAAGTTTTCTTTAAAAATCCAATGTTTCTTCAAAAGTCCAAAGTTTTTCAACTGTGGGCTCCAATAATAATAATAATGATTAATAATAAATAATAATAATAATAATAAATGTTATGTAGTTTGTTACTCCAAGAGGCAGGAACTAGGGAACAATCATGAATCAAAGCAAAACCAACATCAACAATGTAAAAATTCCAGTGCTTGATGTCTGGGACCCACATATGATTATCTGGGCTACAAGGCACTTGAGCGACTCCACCTCTTGGGCACTGAAACCCATAGCTCACATAACTTGTCTCATAAGTTCAGGTTAGTTCTGTTCCACAGCTGCTGCTGTCCTTGGCAGTCTCCCCATGATGCTGATATTTCCAATATACTGGGGTCTTTGCTGCAACAGAGGCTGTCTTCATCAGTCGCCCTTTCTACCCTCTTTTCAGGGGCTCCAACCCTGCCATATATTGCCAAGCCTCAGCTGCTCTCCAAGACCCCATTCATGCCTTCAAACCAGTACTACCTGAAGGACTCTACACATTGCCAAGTTTTTGCTATTAGCATGAGATGCCGGCTTGGCCACCCTGGACACAGTGTCTCTGTGCTGA